GGCGCCTGTCCAGTTGTCACAAAAATATAGATTTAAGGACTTATTGTCCATGTTGGCCAAAATATTTGATGTCAAATTAACTTTGGAGCTTGATATAAATTAGTTTTTTTTATACAATAGAGTGTTTCCAACTTTGTGGCTAAAGTTTCTGTTTCAGTGTGACAATGCCCACGTGCACACCAAGCAGAGTAAAAAAAGAAATGTTTTACATGTCATTATTTTTTAAATTAATTTCCATAATGTAGTGAGTACTCATACTCAATGAATATAACTTGTTACATTTTCTTCCATAATACTAAGCAGCAGCAGATTAAGAAGGTGGTCAAATGAAGGCGTTAGGTGTCACAAAAACACTGTAGTCTTCAGCCTGTTTCTGAATGACACAGCTGAAGTTCCCCACTATCGCTCTGACTGGAGCAAGTGTGTGAGTGAGTGCTCAGGAGGGACAGACACCCACGCTTCACTGTTTTTACTGATGAAAGCAGAAAAGCTGCTGCCGCCCCCTCAAAGTTGAACAAAACACCTGACTTCCAGGAAAACTACATACTTTACATTTCCCCCAAAGAGTTCAGCTGATGATGCCTCACACTTTCAAGAAACCCTGCGTATCCAGTTTATGGCTTTATTTTACAATCTGATTCCGTCCACGTGCTCTTGTGATTAACAAGATTCTTGACCATTTTTTTCCCACTTTATTAACTAATTTACCCTGTGACGTGTCGCTTTAGTCACGGTTTGCTGGTAACACTTCACTGAAAACAAATTTTTTTCCCTGATAAGATGTGTGACAGCTGTGTAGCAGGTTTACACGACACCAGATTCTAATGTCACACATAATTCAGATTAAACTTCCTCTGAAGCCAGTGGGGCCTGACAATGGAGGCACAGTGCGGTAAAGGCATGGTTCAGCAGCTGCTCTTTGTTTGGCCAAGAAGAAATAAGAGGTTAACACATTATTTAACATTTATTCCAGGCTTCACACACATTTTGGCACATCTTTACCACATGTGATATCAAATGGTATAATCATAAGGTTTCTTAAGATCAATTTAAAGGTTATTTTGTCAGAGCTTTTCCCCTTTACACTAAAGGTTCTCAAACCTTTTCTGCCATGCCCCCCTTGAGAGGTCAAAAACATTCACACCCCACATTTTTTATCAATGCTAGAGTACGCAACTAATAAAAGGGATAATTCCCCTAAATCACATTGCTTCAACTTGGTCCTACTCCATCTCTTTCCTGGTCATCCACACCCCCCTGCAGTGGGTCTGTGCCCCACACTTACACAGACTAACAATCTAAGGATAAGAGGGTGTTGTAAATTGTAAAGCTCTTTGAGGCAAATGTGAATTTGGGACTATATAAAACGTGACTTGCCTTCCCCATTTGACTACAGCTCTGGTGTTATGGGGTTGCATTCATGCCCTGTTGGATGCCTCTGTGGCAGAAAAAGACATGATTGAGTGCCCTCTATGGTGGCCTGGTGATGTGACCTTCTTGTGGAGAAAATGTGATGTAGTGCACCAATGTGTGATGCAAAAATGCAATGCAGTGCCCTCTAGGGTTCCCTTCCAGTGGAGAAAATGTAGTGACATATGCCAATAGTCACTCATTTTATTGCAGAGGTGTAGTAGTTATACTTCCAAATATTAACTAGGGTGTGGAACCGTTGCAGAATATGCAACATGACTCTTTACCAATGAATTGTGACCCAATTACATACTAGTTGGACAAGTTATGTACTACACAACTAAGTGTGTAGTTGCATTAAAACAGTGGCTAGTCACTTTTGCAGTATGAACCGATTTGCTTTAGTGTTTGTATGGAATTTGAACACAAATTTATCCACCTGATTTAATATAGAGGGACATTTCTGTGAGGACCTTACCTAAAAATTTGTGGAGCATGTCCCCATCTAGTGGTCACCTTAAGTCATTCAGTCCAACAAGCCTCAAGTCAAAACATTAACATCCCGAAGACTTCATATACTCTTTTGTATATATAAAAACACTGATTCAAAGCCATAAATAGAACAAACACAAAAACATAAGGTATTACATCTTTAATTTTTTGCAAAACAAGACTTGGAATACAGACAAGCCTGGACTCAGGCAAAGGAATCATACAGTCCTCTCTCTCCATGCAGCGTGCAGTGTTGCACATGAGCAGAACGTCCCCAAACCCTCCACCAGACCTGATCTGATAATGGAATGTACCATTCCCATGTTCACACATTTACCACTCCAACATTTAAAACTCAGTGCAACAGGGTACTCGTTAAAACATATGTGCTGTCACCATGAACGCAAAAACCAAAACTGCTTTTCTTAAAAAGGTCTTGCAGAGTAATGCTCTAAACACAAGAGCAACACTGGTCCACCACACAACATGAATGACTATTTGTTTTGCAGTAACTGCAGTTTTAAAGGATGAACAATTGAAAAGTGAGGCTAAAGTGTTAGAAATCTGGGAGGGGGGGTTCGTTTAATCAACTTCTTCCATGCGTGAAGCATCATCTTCGCCGTCTCCTTCTAGGGGAGGAATCTCATCTGGGACGGCTGTAGAGGTGGCCTCCTCTGTGGGGACATCGTCGTCATCGATACCTGGAGATACAAGGATTACGTTAGATATCAGGACAACTGACTGTCACGAAGAAAAAAAAAAAAAACCCCCAATATTAATCTGCAGTGTCTCCTCACCCAGTCCGAGTTTGATCATTCTGTAGATGCGGTTGGAGTGGGTCTGTGGGTCGTCCAGGGAGAAGCCTGAGGACAGCAGGGCGGTTTCGAAGAGGAGGATGACGAGGTCCTTCACAGCCTTGTCGTTCTTGTCAGCGTCTGCCTTCTGCCTGAGAGTCTCCACGATGGGGTGGTCAGGGTTGATCTCCAGGTGCTTCTTAGCCATCATGTATCCCATGGTGGAGTTGTCCCTGAGTGCCTGGGCCTTCATGATCCTCTCCATGTTGGCCGTCCAGCCGTAAGTGCTTGTCACAATGCAGCAGGGTGAAGACACCAGTCTGTTTGACACCGTCACCTGGTACAGACAGTCGGACAGAGGACAATAAGACTTCAAAACACAACAACATGGATAGTGTCTGAATGGCAGGCTGACACGTTTTAAAGTTTAAGTTAATAAAGCATGCAGAACAGTCCTGTTAGAAATGCTCAACACACGTCCAAGGCTACTGTTGGTTTGCCAATTCCAAAACACATTCTGCTCAATATTTACACCAACCGGATAAACTTAAAGTCACGTCAAAATGTCACATTCTGTTAAACCAAATTGTCAAAAAAAACGGGCATCTGTTAGATCACACTCGGGGACATTTGCTATGGTTCTACACTTCAGATATGCACAATCATTTTCATCAAAACACATCTGTCAAAAGCTCAGTCACACAAGGATTTCAGGGGCCTCCTTACACCTTTATAACAACTCACCAGAATACAAGTTAGGACCACTTAGGACACCTGTCACCAAACAAAACACTGTCAACTGTAGTTGTGAATTCTTCAGAACCTAAATCCTATGTATGAAGGGAAACTGCTGTCAACATGAATTCAGCTCATTAGGTCACTGACCTTCTCCACTTTCTTGTCCAGGATCTCCTTCATGAGCTTGCAGAGGCTCTCGAATTTGGCCTTATCCTCCTCCATCTTTTTCTTCTCCTCCTCGTCTTCTGGCAGCTCCAGACCCTCTTTGGTGACAGAGACCAGGCTCTTGCCATCAAACTCCTTCAACTGCTGGACGCAGTATTCGTCAATGGGCTCTGTCATGTACAGGACCTCGAAGCCACGCTTGCGGACGCGCTCGACGAAGGCGGAGTTGGCCACCTGATCCTTGCTCTCACCTGAAGAGAAGTAACATTCAGCATTACAACTAGCACAGATTTAACATTTGCTTAGAAGGAAACCACTAAACATTTGTTATGTTCAGGTGTACAGAGCAATTTTATAATTAATCTACTTAAGATAGAAACAAATAAAAGGTAAGTGTATCAGAAAGACTCACCAGTGATGTAGTAGATGGACTTCTGGTTTTCCTTCATGCGAGTCAGGTACTCTGTGAGGGAGGTGGTCTCGTCTCCAGACTGGGAGCTGTGGTAGCGCAGCAGCTCAGACAGCTTCTTGCGGTTCTGAGAGTCCTCATGGATGCCCAGCTACAGACGGATATAATGAGTTGTGATTACATGCTCAGTCCAAACAATCCCCACACAGCTGTAGCAAAGACCTCCACATTAGACGATTACACGCCTCATTAAGTACAACTGTTCATTTTGTGTGCGATTGTCTCGTAATTAAACTCATCTCTTCCAAGTGAATATACTCTTAGAATCCAAGATACCATCTTCCTGTTAATGTTCATCCAGGATAACCAGGTTAGGCTCAGTAAAGCCAGAGGGCTGTACTACAAACAGTTCAACATCTCCCCAGAACAAAAAGGTCAGTGGCCTAAACGCACTCTAATCGGGACCAAGAACGACAGTCCATTTCTCTTAGACGCTTATTTGTGATGTGACTGAAGACGACTGTGGTTAAGTTTCCAAGACTAAAGTGGTACATTAAGGAAAAGATATCAAATGGACCCATTAATTAATGAACTGGGAAAGCCACTTTGAGCTTTACGATTAAAACGGGAACATAAATTAATTCTGGACCTACAAGCTAGTATACATACCGAACTCCCTCAGATGAGAATCGATATTAGAGAGGATTTTGATGGTCCCTAAACACCCTCGCCCTCCACCAATATTTTCCAAATCGAGTTAACCACGAAGATAACCTGCTTGGAGCAGTTTCGCAGTGA